TTATTACAACCCCAGGGGAAATTGGCGAGCAAGACCTCATGGGTGCAAGGGGCCACAGGGACCAAACAGTACTCATGGACTACCCGAAGAACTGTGGACCTCGGCATAGGCCGGGTAACCCACTCCTTCATGGTCATCCCTGAATGTCCCTACCCGTTGTTAGGTCAGGACTTGCTCACCAAGATGGGGGCACAAATTTGCTTCCACCCCGGAGGGGCAAAAATCCTAGACAAAGAAGGGCAACCAATTCAGGTGCTTGTCCTGAGTTTGGAAGACGAATATCGTCTCCACCAGATGCCCCCAGCCCCAGTGACTGACATTGACCATTGGCTACAGGAATTTCTTCAGGCACAGGCAGAAACTGGGGGAATTGGGCTGGCCCAACACCGACCAGCTATATACATAGAACTAAAACCAGGGGCCGACCCTGTCAGGGTCCGCCAATACCCTATGCCTCTCGCGGTGCGAACGGGAATCACGCCCCACATACGGCGACTACTAGATTCAGGCATATTAAGGCTCTGCCAATTGGCATGGAACACTCCCTTGCTGCCAGTGCGAAAACCGCACTCTAACGATTACAGGCCAGTCCAGGACTTAAGTGAAGTCAACCGGTGAGTAATGGATGTGCACCCCACGGTCCCAAACCCATACACCCTCCTCTCCACCTTGCCTCCAGACAAAAATTGGTATACGGTATTAGATTTAAGAGATGCCTTTTTCAGCCTGCCTTTAGCACCCAAGAACCAAGACCTTTTTGCTGTTGAACGGACAGACCCCAAGAAAGGCATCAATGGCCAACTCACCTAGACTCGACTACCACAAGGATTCAAAAACTCACCAACCTTCTTCGATGAGGCCTTACACGAAGACTTGGGTGAGTTCCATTCTGAACACCCTCATTTGACCTTATTGCAATATGTAGATGATATCCTGCTGGCGGCGGAGGACCAGGACACTTGCCTGTGAGGCACCAAGGACTTACTCCAGACTATAGCGGCTCTAGGATACCGGGCCTCAGCCAAAAAGGCCCAAATCTGCAGAGCAGAGGTGAGCTACCTGGGGTACAAATTAAAGGATGGACAAAGATGGTTGACAGATGTGTAGAAGGAAACTGTCCTAAGGATCCCACAGCCGCAAACCGACCATCAGGCACATGAATTCCTGGGGTCGGCAGGGTTCTATCGATTATGGATTCCGGGTTTTGCTGAGATGGCCAGACCCCTCTATGAGGCCACCAGGCACCAACAAAATTTTGAATGGACAGAGGCCATGAACAAGGCCTTTAATGACCTTAAACAGGCCTTGCTGTCTGCCTCGGCTCTTGGGTTGCCTGACCTAATCAAGCCCTTCTACCTATATGTAGACGAGAAAGACGGGGTGGCAAAAGGGGTCCTTGTCCAGTACATAGGTCCCTGGAAAAGACCCATAGCTTATCTCTCTAAAAAGATGGACACAGTGGCCGCTGGATGGCCCCCATGCTTAAAAATTATTGCCGCGGTGGCCACTATGGTCAAGGACGCAGACAAGCTAGCCATGGGGCAAGAGCTATATGTTACCACCCGACATGCTATCGAAGGAGTACTCAAACAGCCCCCAGACTGCTGGATCAGTAATGCTCATCTGACCCATTATCAGAGCCTACTGCTAAACCCCACCGAAATTTTATTCAAGCCACCTACAACCCTGAATCCGGCAACGCTACTCCCTAACCCAGACTGGGACCCCCTTCTGCATAACTGTCAACAGATTTTGGCACAGGTCCACGGAATCAGGGCTGATCTCCGGGACCAGCCACTGCCGAACGCGGATGCCACCTGGTATACAGACGGCAGCAGTTTTGTCCGAGAAACTGATTTCTGCCCTCAGATACGCGGGGGCAGCTGTAACCACAGAGACGGAGATCATCTGGGCAGAGCCATTGGCAGCCGGAACATTGTCTCAACGGGCAGAACCGATCGCCCTAGCCAAGGCACTAACCATGGGAAGAAGGTAAACGAATAAACATTTACACCAACAGCAGGTATGCCTTTGCCACCGCTCATATCCGCGGAGCCCTTTACAGAGAGAGAGGGCTTCTGACAGCAGAGGGAAAGACTATTAAAAACAAAACAGAAATTCTTGAACTCCTAAGGGCCCTCTGGCTGCCCAAGGCACTAGCTATCATCCATTGTCCAGGACACCAAAAAGCAGACACACCAGTAGCCAGGGGAAACCGGCTAGCCGACTCAAAAGCAAAGGAGGCGGCCCTTTCAGTGACCCAGGTTTTAACAACCATGCTACCCGATCCGGGGGCACCGACCCTGCCGGACGCCCCCAGCTATACTGGCACTGACTTACAATGGATTAAACGCTTGCCTACGACCCAATGCTTGCGTGGCTGGTGGAGGGCCGCAGACTCCAGCATCATCCTGCCAGAGGAACCAGGATGACAAGTCCTTTCCAAAATGCATCGGAGTATTCATATGGGAACAAGAAAGATGGAAGACCTCATACGACATGCTAAGATCATTATTAAGGACTCTCGAGCAAAGATGGAGCAGATCGTGGCAAGCTGTCATGCATGCCAGCTAACCAACGCCACCACCCATGGGTCTAACCCCGGAACCCGACTCAGGGGAGACCGCCCAGGAGCATAGTGGGAAGTA